TTAACGACACTAGTATAAAGCAAAGTAATTTAAAGAAAAACTTGGATAAGAATTGAATAAAACTGCTTTGATCAACCAAGTTTAAGCTTATAATGAACACTCAAACCTAAACCAAATGGTATCAACTTAAATGGTTTTTATTTATTTATTGGAGGCTTGTTTTGTGTACTTTAACATCATATAATATTGGTAGAAAATGGAGCCCTAAATTGAAAGTTATGCTTACTATAAAATGGAGTCCCAAAACTAGAAATACAAAACTTGCTGCTGTCTGGCAGCCCTGTGACTCAACTTTGGACATGAATTTGATCAATCAAAATTCAACAGAATTAAGTGAAAGCAAATGGGTTTTGATTACGGACATGTCTATTTTCAAAACACACAATATTAGATCAAAAGGAGCTCACAAGGACATAGAAATCAAGAGCCAAAGTAGGCTACTTGAAACATAGTTTCTCTTTGCAAAATGAATAAGTTTCCGGTGATTTAGAACCCATACTCGTTTAATCTAATTTACAAGGCAATTCCAAACTATCCAGAAACCATATTTAACTTCTATTTCAATGCGTTAGCTTACCTATATCATGCTTAATTCTTCCTCTTTTAGCCAAAGACTACAAACAATACAATAAAATTAAAGTATGTACCTTTTCTTGTTTCATCTTGCAAGTGAACTCGTTGCTCCATTGTTCGCAAGCATAGCTTTAATCATTGTTCCAGTTTGCCCATTTGTATCTCGCAACACGAGAGTCAATTGAGTAGACAAGGATGTTACTTCTGTTTGCAATGTCTGGACATTCTGTCTTTCGTTCCTCTACCAAAATACACATGCTTTTCACCGTAGCACGATATTATTCTCTTTGGGCCCCGACCACGCCCTCACGGTTTTGTTTCTAGAAACTCACACGAGAACTTCCCAGTAGGTCACCCATCATGGAATTACTCTCGCGCGAACTCGCTTCGAAATTATGAACAGTTTTTTTATTTAGGTTTGCTGGATAACGCCGCTTCGACTCCTTGTTGGCCTTGTTTGTGTTGTAAGAGGAAGGGAAGAAAGGGATAGAGTGAGAGTTCTCGAGAGTTCAAGAAATAAGTGGGAGAGACGGGAAGAAGTGAGAGTGTGTGTCCCCCGAACCCCACCACAAGAAAATTAAAATCCTCTCTCTTGCTGCTATCTGGCAGCTTCTAATCTTCATTTCTTTTCTTTCTTGTTTTTTTCCTCGTATTGGTTCCTTCCCAAATTAATGGGAACCCTAAAAATATTAAATTTCTAATTTATTTAAGAAACTTCTAACGTCCGTAACGTCTTCTTTCTCGTCCCGATTCACAAATTGCCTTCGTCTATGTGCTCGTGGGGTTGAGCTCAATTCGAAAACATTAAGAGTGACCCCCGAAGGTCTACGAATTTAAATAATTATTTTCAAAAATTCAAATTTTGTAATTAAGTAATTAAAATCTAAAATTAATTTAAATTCGCAAAAATAATATAAAATTATGAGAATACAAAATACGTAAATTAAATAGTGAAATTGAGGAACGGGATTTCACAATTTGACAATATTGTCACCATTTTCCATTTTAGTGTTGTTATTGACACTCCAAACACTAACTACACAGTTTTCATAAATGTATTTTTATTTCCACGTACGTAGAAAATTAGAGAAATGCTAGAGAAACTCTCTCAAAGTGGCACTCACTATATATGAACTATCTACCACCTAATAGTTTAACTCAATTTCCGTGCTAATTTTATAAAACATTGTATCAAAAATATAAAGTAGTAAAGTGTCCCATTTTTTAGAGAATCGCTTCAGCATCTCTCAAAAAAAAAAACATGCCCTGAGCAATAGGTATAGACACCGAATTGGCAAATCAACAAGCCAAATAGGGCTCTAATACCAATGTAAATCAAGTAAAGGATTTTTATCACAAATGGTCCCTAAAATTGACACTCACCATCAAGATGGTTCATGAAATTAAAAATCAATCAATGTAGTCTCTGAAAATAGGTGTCGCAAATCAATGTGGTCATTCTGTCACACTTATGTTAAAAATTCTGTTAAGTGCTAATGTGACACATAAATGGGCCCCACAAGATTTACAGGTTTTTATCACAAATGGTCTTTGAAATTGACCCACACCATCAATATGGTCCTTGCACTTGAAAATCAATCAATATAGTCATTGAAAATAGGTGTCCAAATCAATATAATCATTCCGCCATAATTCTGTGAAAAAATTGTTATGTGCTGATGTGGGATTAATAATTAATTTAAAAAGTTGTCGAAATACCTTTTTGCACAATGAATTTTTTTTTTCTTATAGTAAGGTCTACTCCAAAGAAAGTTCCCTTCCATAAATTCTCAAGGCATAAGGTTTAACCAAGGCCTAAGAGGGGGTGTGGAAATAGTTTTCAACCAACAATGGACACACCTCGGTTATAACCTCATTATCTCAAGGTAGACCTCGTCATTTTTTGCATCACCAGACCACCAGGGAAGTGCCGAACAAGCTATCCAAGATTAAGGATGTTGATCGCCTAAATATTAACGGTGATGTTTCAAAAGTCGTTGCCAATGGGTCAAGCCGTCACCAAAGGTGATCTCAATTTAGGTTCAATTCGGTGAAGGGTGTCGAAGTGTGTAAAGATTGGTGTATTGAGATTTTTTTAGAGAATTGAGAGTGAATGAGATATAGAAATGTGGATTGAGATTGAATGTGATTGCAGGACTGGGTTTTTTGGTTGACAATTTTTTTATTAACTATTAAATTATTAAGCCTATTTGTAATATATTTTTTAAAATTTAATTAGACTTGTGCCACCCATTTATGTGTCATATCAACACATAATAGAAATTTTGACAGAATTGTGACAGAATGACTGCATGGATTCGAGACACTTACTTGAGGGACTACATTGATCAATTTTCAATTTCAAGGATTATTTTGATGTCGCGGATCAATTTCAAGGACCATTTTGATGTCATGGGTCAATTTCAAGGCCCATTTGTGAGAAAAAATATAACTTATGGGGTCCATTTATGTGTCACATCTGCAATTAACAAATTTTTTTAACAAAATTGTGACGGAATGACCACATTGATTTGCAATACCTATTTTCAGGGATTATATTAATTGATAATCAATTTCAGAGATCATTTTAATGGTGAGAGTCAATTTCAGATATCATTTGTAATAAAAACCCATCAAGTAAATGGTATTCTCAAATAATCATTGTGGAAGATGGCCCAACTCAACCTTCACTTGTTACGAACCCTCTTGGCCTTCTAGCCTCCGTGTACCTCTTGGTGGTAGGGCCCAACAAAAGTTTATAGTTGTTGTTTTTTTTTTGGAAACTAAGTTTATAGCTTAATTATATTCGGATATTTAGAAAATTTAGGATCATGACACGCCAAAAGAAATGATAATTCATAATCCAAACATTCAGAAAATTCACACTAAGCCCATACAAACCCCCGTGTATTCATCATGCCAGGCTATCAAAACAAGCTTACAATATTAATACATTAACATTTTAATTCCAATTATGCCAAGCTACTCTTTACCTGACATGCTTAAGTAGGCCCGAGCCACATAACAGGGCTTGTCGAGTGAGTTGTGGTGTGGACAATTACAAAAGTTCAATGGGCCTGTGTGGAATTCAAGTTTGTGGATCTTTTGGGCTACATGGGAGCACCAAAAAATAGAACCACAACTTTAATTTCACGTGGAAATGTTGTAAGAGATCATTCTTTGTTCATTCCCTTACAACGCAACTAAAACACTTCAAAACCAACAAGATTTAAAAATCCAATTCGCCTAGATTTATGCGTTGACAGAGTCCGACCTTGAGCCATGCACCTAGTTTTAACGTGTTGGAAGAACCTAACCATTTTAAGCTCGCGCAAGAAATGAAGAAGAAAACAGAGAATGAGCGTAGCAAAAAATGGAGCTTTGTTGTGGGACTAGGTGCATGAAAGAGGGGATTCTTAGCAGAATGTTCAACCTAGCTTTCACGAGGCAATTAACTCGTACAATACTAACCCAATGAGACATGATGTAGCTACAACAATGGAAAAGATAAGGGAAGGCTTAACAAAACAAGAAGAGAGAAAGCCCAAGAATTCTCCAGGAAGATTTTGAGGAATTCCCGCATCTATAAATTGCAGCCTTCAACACGCTTGAATAAGGGGATGGACTAAGCAGAGCAAGCAATCTCTAAGAAATGGAAAACCCTAATTCATGAGCTCTAGCCTTTCCTTCATTCTAACCTTTGCAATAAGCCTCCCTTACCCTTCAAAATTATCCCCATTAGAAATCCTAATTAACCATCAATGATATATCTCTCACGCCAACTTAGTAGGCTTTTAGCTCCTACACCACGCATCACTCAAGCAAGTTACAATTTGTTGTTATAATTATTCAATCATTACTAAAGAAGTTGTTCATTTATCTGGAATATCTCCGAAAACATGCTTTTCTTTGAAGGTATCTCAGGGTCTGATGCCGGAAATGAACCAGGAGAGTTAGGCGTCTCAAAGTCCAATTTCTGCTTGATCAAAAGGTCCCCAACACTTGGTCTGGAAGGTCAATTAGGATAACTACGGTATATTGAGTTGTCCCAATGATATTCGCTTCCTAAATTCCTAGAACTATGGCGATAACTCGTGAAGTGAGCTTAAACTACAGAGAACATGTGGAGGGAAAGGGAGTTTGATACTGTCTCACACACATGTCAATCTCAACAACATCCCTTGTGATTTTTGTTATCTTAATACATGCAATGTTTCTACGAGAGGGGATGATTTGAATTCAAGATGCAATGGGTTAAAGAGGAACGCCGTGCCCACCAGGAGAATCCACAAATGCTAAGTTTTGCTCAAGTCGGCCTAGACTATAACACAAGCTGTATAGTAAAACACACCGAGGAACCAGTTCACTGCATCTACGATTGAGCAAACTACCAAAAAAGAATTATAACGTCAAAACACGAAAACGGATAGGTAAAGGAGAGAAACTATATCAGATTATTCAATGCCTTCATGAGAGTACAAGTATCTCCAGTTACACGATGTAAATAAAGGGAATCCGTGTACGCGCCAATGCCACATGGCTTTCTTTGTTTCTCGATTCCTTTTTGTTTTAATTACAATACAAAAAAGGAAAAGGTAAAGAAAGGAAGAGATTCTAACTAACTGGACAAATTGTCTATGCACTTCATCTTCTTTAATCCTCGTCCAGCAGCTCGGTGCAGAATAATGTCTATACACTCCATCTTTCGCAAGGCAAGCTTATATGCAATGCATTAATCTTCAAAGAATAGTTTGTCAGGAATATACTTTGTGTTCCACATTCCCACGGTTTCACCAGAATGAGAAAAGGAGTCTGTTTCTTTGAACAAAAAGAGCAGAATCCAGCCTTAACCATTTGAAGTTACAAGCGATGCGCCAACAGATCAGGCAGTGTTATCTTCCCAGAGTGGTTCTGGTCAAGCCTACTGAACTGATCGCAGATTTGCAGAATATCTTTCTCCCCTATCTTTCCCATCTCTTTAAGCTTGTAAATAACATACTCTGACTTACTGAACGTGCAAGGTAGCTTGTATGATTCACAATTCAAACTTGATGTATGTAGCTAAAAGCTGAAAAACTAATACGGATGCAAAACAAATAAGCATACGGAATTGCTCCTCTTGAATTATTCGCATTTCTGTGGCATGACTCTGGTGTCCACTACAATAGTCAGCATCCTTATCAGATCAACGCACCTAGACGTTACAAGTTAGACTAATTTCATACCAAAATTAGTTGATTGAGTCTTCAATTGCGAACTCAATTCACTCCGAACCATCTCGTCTTTTAGAGGCTCTAATTTGAATTAAGTACATTTGCTAAGTTCACTACATGCGCACAATGTTGCACGGCTATGCTCACACACCTAATTCACATCCCATCATCATACTAATGATCATCCAGACCAACGGTCGATATAATACTTACGCTAAATTGTTACTTAGTTATGATTGACTGTAATCCGATCAGTATTGTTCGAATCTGCTAGATTTGTTGAGTGAGGTGGCAGCTAATGACAATTAAAAACGAGATGGCAATTAAAAAGAAAATGATAGATAGGATGGATTGAATTATGGAAACACAACACACCTGATGAAACCATGGTTATTGATGTCGGCGGCAAGCAGATCCTGGACGGTGATATCCCTATGCAAAACCCAGTTCATAATCCTCCTGTGCCTTTTGTCCACCCTGGCCTCTGCTAAATATATAAACGCCCGAGCCACCGCCAACGTCGAAAACAGAAGCCACACGGCGGCGAAGAGTCTCCCTTGGAGAGTCTGGAAGGCCCTGTCACCGTATCCAACCGTCGTAACCGACATAACGGACAAGTAAACAGAATCAATCCAGTCCAAATTCTCTACAAAACATAACACCAAAGCCCCAATGCCGATGCACAGAACCACCACCCCAAGCGCCAGGCCGACCTTGAGTCGGATTCTCATCCTCCCCTTTGCCACATCGACAATATAGTCCCTGGCGGAGAAGCCATGATTCCGGGAAGTCTGACCCATTTGAATTCCGGTCAAGATCATGTTTTCTTGCAAGTCGAGGACAAAATTGACGACCCCACTGAGCAAAATGTCGATGAAACCGAACCCGAAGAGCACAAAGACGCAAGCGAAAATCTTGGTGAGAGGAGTGGTGGGAGCAATGTCACCGTACCCAATGGTGCACATGGTGACTATACAGAAGTAGAGGGCGTCGACGACCGGGTGGGTTTCGACGCCGGAGAATTTGTCCCTGCTGAAGGAGTAAATTACAACGCCGAGCGATAGGTAGACGAGGAGCAAGAAGACGGCTTGCCTGATGATGGAGGTGGAGTCGGATTGTGGTTTGGGGACCTGGGTAGTTGGGTTTGGATTGAGGTCTTGCATAACGGCCATGGCGGGGGCCGTCCTGCAGCGGTGGAGAGTGCCGGGTCTCTTCTGATAGTGGGCATTCGGGGGTCCGGACGAAGAGGGATGCGGGTCTTGTTGGTGGACATGGTGATGGTGGGGTTGTTGGAAGTGGTGGAGATTAGGCTCCGCAAGTTGGGATCAATATTTTTTATGATTTTTAAGCAGTTTTAGTGTATCCTATATCTTAAAGGCTTTTAGCCAAAATGATCCATGAGATTTGGATAAACATCCTTTGGTTCTGAGTTGTCCAGCATCCATATTTGTCATCATAAAAACTCCATTAATTCCGAGTTTTGGTGAAATTTGGGCAATTTCATGTTGTACTCAATCGTTCTTAACCTAAATTCACCCATAATTATTAAAATGAGATAGAAAATGTAGAACAAGATTATACCTATTTGGAAGTCAATGGTCTGAGATGCCTCAAGCCTTAACTGATGTCCGTGGGAACTGGAAACTCGCCGGAAACTGGGTAACTTTAAACGTTCATAATGCTTCATACTCACAAAATCTAATGATTCAGAAAAGAAATCAACTTATCAACGAGTGAAGAGATGGTACCTTTTTTTTGTTTTATGGCTAACTCCATGTGTTTGTTCACGAAAACGGCTTAAAATGCATTTTGGTCTCAGTGTAGCACTTCGAGATTTTTCGGCCAACCACAGCTAATTGCCATTTAGAAGATACCATTCTTTCGTCCATTGAGAGTATGTTTTATTTTTTAATCTCATTTCATTGCGTTGAAGAAGTTTGAACGTTTTAACTTTACCCGATTTCCGGCAAATTTTCCAGTTTTTCCGCCGACAGTCACTTTCAGGCTATTTTCGATCATCTATGGCAATCATTGGTCAAATAGGTATAAATTGTTTACACTTTCTATCATCATTTTGATATAATATGGTCGAATTTGGTTAGAAAAATTGAGTTCGAACTTGAAAATTGCTAAACTTCGCTAGGAGTTCTGAACACTTAATGAAAGGACAAATAATGGATGTGGACAATCTGAGGACAAATTGATGTGTTTACAAATCTCATGGACATTTGGCTAAAAAGCCTATTTTAAATTGGGTTATCTTGTTTACATCCTGAGTTCGTATTTTCACATTTGGTACATGAAGTTTTTTTCATCATACCTGAAGTCTTAATTTTGGACAGTTTTATTATCTGTAAGTTTCCTTAGAATTTCAGTAACTGATGATGTGGCGCCACGTGGAAATATGACGCCAATTCAATATGAAGTCATTTCAATATTAAAAAATAAAAAAAACCCACCCTCCTCTTCCCGATCCCTCCCCTCCCCCTTCTCTTTCTGCTCAGTGCTCAGATCACTCCTCTACTATCTGCTTCTGCGACTCCATTATCATCTGATTTGCTTCATCTCCATCTTCATTATCTTCTCCATCTCCTTTGCATCTCCATCTTTCTTTTCATCTTCACAAAATACTTCTCCCAAAACTCTATCGAACATGTCATCGCTTCAATCGATCATCCACCCTTTCCTGACTGAACTCCACCAAATTCTAACCAACACCATTAGAAGCAAACCCTCGAAATTTTTGATTAAACCCACTCTTGAAACCAACTCCATTGCTACCCCAGGCTTTGAGATAAGCTTGGGGATTAAACTTCTCGTCTATTACCATAACCCTTGCTCCTGAACTTTCATAATTTCTGACCCAAAAACCCACCTCCATATTGAACTCCGATGCGGATATCCGGATCTGGTTGGCCCGAAGCCAAGGAGAGTCGCATTCCAAGTCGATCATGGGTTGAAACAGATCTTAGGAGAGAAAAACGGAACCGACCAGGTGCAGAGTCGGCGGTGGTATTGTGTGGCGAGCCAATGCGGAGCTGGATATTGATGGCCGTCGAGCCCTAGCAGTAAGTGGGTATGTTGCGACCACATTATGGAAATTCTGGACTCGGGTTCTGTTTTCTTAGATATGGTGGGGGAGAGGATGAGGGTGGTCAAGAGTGAAGAGGGAGGAGTGGAGGATCAGGAAAGAGAAAAGGGAGGGATCGGGAATGGAACAGAAAGAGGAGGGAAGCCGCCCTACGAGCCCATACAAGCTCCCGGCCAATGGTGTTGAGCTGCTCCATTGCTGATTGAGGGTTTGAATGTTAGGTTTGGATGGAGAATTGGGGTTGAATTGGGGAATTAATTAGTGAATTTCCATTGCATGAAGAAATAGAGGAGGTGCTCGGTGGAGAAGACAAAGGGGTGGAGGGGTGCTCGGGTGGAGGAGGTGGGGATTCTGGGGAAAAGGAAGAAGAAGAGAAGAAGAAGAAGAGAGAGAGAAAAAAAAATCCATGCACCTCTGAGAGAAGAAAGAAAGAAAGAAAAAAATATCCACGTGGACCCCTTAATGTTACGTGGTGCCAGTCAGTGTCACATGGACACCACGTCATCACTTAACATGAGACTTAACAATTTGACTAACGGATGTATGAGATTGTCCCAAAATTACACTTTAGGTATGACTCTGGAATGAAAAAACTTGATGTACTAAATGTTGAAACCACGAAACTTCAGTAATAAACAGAGTTTAACCCTTTAATTGTTTTCCTGTAATGAACCTTTGATGAAACATGCAGGCATATTAGTAATTGTCAGATTAATTCTCGTCCGAAATAAGAACAAATAGACACTTTGATCGGTGCCTAACTATACTTGATGAAGATGTCTTAAAGTTAGACCACATAGATGTGAAAAAATATAACATATATATATATATATATATATTATATATATATATATATATTCAGAGTCATATACTATACTAAGTTGTGGTTTGTTGTACCATCTTGATATAACTAGTTCACGTCAACTGATAAGCTATGATTTTTATCAGGCATCTGGGTGCAACCTTGCAACTGCCCCAATATTTTGAGGCAATACTTGTTGCAGTTGGAGAACTGTGCGCAATGACTATGTATGGTCCCCAAAAAACTAACCGTTCTTTCTGCTGCATTGACTGCACATTTAATATATAAATGAAGAAGTAATTAGATTCAACCCCTCAAATTCTACATTTTTTAATTAAATACGGTTGGCTTTTAATTTTTTTATTAAAACGTTCTAAAATTAATCCATGTTCTTTTCTTAATTTCCGACTCAATATTTTATATAAATTAAACAAAATAAAAGTTGTATCATTATTAAAGCTGAGATCTAGAGTCCATAAATTAATGTGAATTGTTTTCTAAGACTTGATTTTTTTTTTTTTTTTTAGAAACACACGCGAACTAAATCCCATTTATATAGAAAAAGATCTAGTCCTTCTCCTGTTTTTTCTTAAAATAAATGAGTCATTATTTCAGTAATTAATATATTAAAATTTGATAGAATATATTACCATCAAGTTTCTTTATTTCTTCCATCTCCTCTATAAAAGTCACAACATCATATCCTTTAGCCGCTTTCCAAAAAGTTACTTCGAAGAAGTAACCCAGAGTTTATTTTTTTTCTATTATTTCTATAAATGGTTTACAACAATGTCTATGTGGAGAGTGTGGAAATATGTTTACAACCGCTTCAATAACACCCTTGGAATATAACACAACTTTGTCAGCCAAAATTTCTTTAGTTGAAGTTAGTAAGAAAAAAGCAAAATAAGAATAAGAATATCACTTTTTTGTCTATCCATGTCCATGGAATGTTGTCTGAGTTGTAACTACCCATCATTATTTTCAAGTGAATTATGAAGAATGTCTAGCATCATAGCACTCTAATGCAGACAACTACCATAGCTATGGGAAACACCACAAAAACTACTATCTAAACTAACTTACGTTAATAATCGCCTCCAAAAGGCCATTTCAAGAAGCACCCATTATGGCGACCATTATTTTCTAGGGCTGAAGTAAGGTTGATCGGAATATAGATACCTCAGAAGCCAAGTTAGCGACTCAAGATCTCTGAGCGGAGCTGGATCAAACGGAGCAGTGGTGCCACATCACTTTGTTCTAGATGTTCTAGGGCAATAAGACCCAAACAAACGGAGTAGTGGTGCCATCACCACTTCGTTGGTATGACCATCCTTGTTCTGCAAGACACGGGATTTGATTTGGTTGTGGAATTAGCCATATCCTTTATAAGTCTTGGAGTTCCTACAATCTAAGATTGGCATGCACCGCAAGTAACCACAACTCCTAAGAGGGTGCAGTTTCTATTTCTAGATCTCCTCCAGGATTCTCTCGGTTTAGGAGTATGATTTATCCCAAAAAGGTCTATCTCTTGGTTGGTATGAATACACCAATCTAGGGTTTGTTTTATGGTAAAGCAATTTATGCACTCTAATTTCTTTTCCCCACTTAAGTCTTATATTTGCTTACTAACTTGACTATTGGAGAGCCTTTGGTCGGCACACCTTCCCCGGTCTTAGGCTTGCTCACAATTGTTTGTTTTTCACATGTTACTCAATTTTGTGCATCTCCACCACTAACGACAGTGTGTGAATTTGGTTCCAACACAATTAGTGCTTTCATTGAGAATTGATTGCTGAAGAATTGGTGCATCGCCACCACCACAAGCATGATTGTTAAAGGAAGCTCTGTTAACTCTAATGTTAATCCCATCATGGAGACAACCCATTTTTCGATGCATCCGTTATCCAAAGGTGGATAACCCGCTACTTACACCTCCCCCTTCTAGAGCAAGTAATTAACAGCCCACAGGAGACGACAACCACGCTTGGAAAAAATGAAAGTCCGATCAACAGGTCCCCTCATTCCATGGACGACATTTAGGATACCTTAATGAATATTAACACCTCTATTGACAAAGCTGCTAAAAAACCAAATGCTGCTCGAGCTGAGAGCCACTAATTTCGTGGACGTCGAAAATCAAACGAAGAACTTGGAGAATTCTAGCGGGACTACCCCTCAGACTGAGATTTTCGTTTTCGGTTACATAAGCACCATAACCTTTGAAGGGGAAACGATCGTATCAACCGTTGCTCCAACTCCAACAAACATCACTGATCCAAGTAGACATCGCTTCTAAAAGCAGGCTCCGAGCCCCACAAGACTCTCCTTAACCAGCACATCACAATAGCGCTGCCAACTTTCCAAGTTAAACTGTATCTGCTCAAAACCATCGCAAAGATATGGATGTCAGATTTATGTAAAAT